CTCATTTGAGGTAAAAAGCTCAAAACTTGCCTCATGAATGCTTAGATCTATTATGTTGAGTTTTTGGACCTTTTGGTCCCAAGAATGGAGCTTTATGGTTCTAAATCCGTTTCTAGGCTTAAGGTTGCCACCCTTGGTGCTACTTGAGTCCCTAAGACAGAAAGTTGCCATCTTGAAGCTCTTAATGGGTTCATGCAAGAGTTATGGCCATTTTCATGGAAGTAGATTGCTATACCTTGAGTTTGGGTTCATGTGGGTCATATAAAGTCACCAAGTCAGTGACTTTATGGATTAAGACGTTGAAGAGGACTTGGATCTGTGTTTTTAGCCTTTGGAATAGAGTATTAAGTGCTTAATGGTATAAGTGGCTTAACAGAGCAGTACGATGGGCGTACAAGCCATGCAGCCTATACGCTTAGCGAACAGAGGAGTACTTCCCGTGTACTCATTGGAATTAGGCTTTGCGTCATTTGGGCCTCGGTTTGGGCCATTCCTTGGACTTTGCTATCTTGGGTCATAGTGGGCCATCAGAAATCAGTTATTTTGGGCTAAGAATATGTTGGGCTTAAGAGAAGGCCCATTTGAGGAGTTAGGCCCAATTTAGAAAATTAGGCCATTGGTGGGCCACTAATGGGCTTGAGAAGGCTATCTAGACTTGGGCCTTAGGCATGGGCCAAATTAGGTCAGGGGTAAAATGGTCATTTTACCCTAAGAAGGATTATTAGCTTTTGACTAAGTGTTATTGTGGTAATGATAGCTCAGGAGTCGTCGGAGCAGCTGTTAGAGATTCCTTACTGTGAGATTTTGCATTCAGCTTTGCGAGGTGAGTTTCCTCCTATAGGAATGGGTCGAAGGCACCAATGTCGGCCCGTATGTATGATTATATGTTCCGGATTTTGATCCGATGTCGGGCGGTGCCCGATGAATGTTTATATGCTTTCCAGACTACGGTCCGATGTCGGGCGATGCTCGAGGAATGTTTGTATGCTTGATGTCTTCGTGATTCTTGCATGTGTCTGTATTTGTATGTTTCCGGATTACGGTCCGATGTCGGGCAATGCCTGAGGAATGTTAGTATGCTTCCGGAATTCGGTTCGATGTCGGGCGGGGCCCGAGGAATGTTTATATGTTTATGTTATCTGAATATTTTATGTGTATTTGTTGATATTCTATTATGTATACCGAGATTTGCTCGATGCCGGGCGGGGCCCGATGCCGGACTATGTCCGATGCCGAACATTTTCCGATGCCGTGCGGGGCCCACGATATGTTTATAGGTGATTATGTGCTTATGTGTATGATATGTGGTAGTTTGGGGAGACTCACTAAGCTTCGTGCAATCGTGCTTATAGTTTTCAATTTTGGTTTCAGGTACTTCTGGTAGCAAAGGGAAGAGCTCGGGATGACTGCAGTGCACACACCATTATGTTTAGCCTGGGATGATTACTCTGATGTTTTGATTTGGAAAATCTGATAATAATGTTTTTGCGATTATTTGACTTATGTTTCGATGAAGTGTTTTGATAACTACGATTTTATTTAATGAGTTAAAACGAAAAATTTTGGTCATGATTTTTGGGATGTTTTAATTTTTGGGCCTTAGTTGGTTATTTTGGATTTGGGGCCTTTTGGATTGTAGTTTTGGGCCTTAGTTTTAGACCAAACTAGGTAAGGGGTAAAATAGTCTTTTTACCCTAATTTTGGACTGATGGTTATAGATTGGAATCCAATTATTAATTGGATGTTATTTGGTATGGATAGCCTGGGGATTTGTCGGACCAGCAGCCAGAGATTTATCAGGGTGATTCAGCAGTTCGAGGTGAGTCTCCTCACTGTGTTTAGCTGGTCGAAGTATAACGCCCGGTTCCCGGTACGTATTTTAAATTTAAAGATTTTATGTTTTTACACTAGGACTCGGTGAGTTGGAGGCCCAACTCGTCGAGTAGACACGACTTTGGACGCAGGTTTTAAGTAACCTACTCGACGAGTCGGGAGCCCGACTCGACGAGTAGGACTGTCTGGATGAAACCCTATTATTTAGGGTTTGCACCCTATTTAAACAACATATCTTATCCCAACCCAGCCTCCATTGTCCCTCCCAACTCAGAGAAACCCTAAATCGAAACCCTAACCTTGTTTGAGTGTTCTTGAGCCATTTTTGTGTGCTTGTGGTAATTGTGAAGCTTGAGAAGGAAGAAGGAGCTTGGAAGTTCGAGTGGAAGCTAGTAGATCCAGAGGTTGTGCCCCATTTCCAGCTCACTTGAGGTATAAAGCTGAAACATTGACCATCTATCTCTTAGATCTCTAGTTAGGGTTCATTTCTACCTTTTATAAGCCTTAGAGGTGCCATACTCGGAATTTTGTGGTTCATTGAGGGTATAACTTCAGATCTGGAACCATTGGGGGTCCTTATGGCATAAAAGTGCCAACTTTATTGCCATAAGCACCCCATGCATCTTGTAGACTTCATTCTAGAGCCATTTGGGCCAAATAC